GAAACAAATTCATCGTGTCATGCTTCAAGATATTCCTGAAACAGTCCTTATTTTTCACAGCAACATTGTTTTTCTCATTCAAGGCAAGTTGATCCTGTTGTTCGTTCTTCTGTATAAAAAAGGCCTCACACATGCGTCTTCTGGCCAAACTGCTGGATCCATAGCTTTCTCCATATTTTTTTCGTAAATTCGAACTTTGAATGATGAATACAAATCAGGATGCCTGGGAACCAGAGCTTGGCAGGATACTTCAGGAAAAGTTTCTTTTAGGAACTTTGAGATGCTTTCAACTTCCGTCTTGGGTGCTACCCTATAAACATGTAAGTCCACTTGTTTGGGAACACCTTTGAGGGAACTTGATGACGTAGTATTATTTCCAACCACGATTTTATTTCTAATTGGGTTTTTCCTCTGATTATTTGCTGTTTTATTTTTCTTATTTTCGACTAACGTCCAATCCTCATTACGCAGAGGCATTTTCTCCTTTGAGCAGTCTGCTCCATCCTGTAGATGAATGTATTTGTCCATGGTCAGTTTCGTTTGTGTTTTTAATACACCAGCTGATACGGCTTTATCATTCAGTTGGGAATTCCCTGTGTTCTTATCAGATTTGTGGTTCACTAGTTTTTTTGTTGGACTAGATGATACTGTTTTTGTTTCCATACTTTCTGCAGGTGTTTGGCAATTTTTTATTGATAGCAGATTGGATCTTAACGAATTATTTTCATTGAGCAGTTCAATTTGCTTATTCAATATGTTGATCTTGTCATAAAGTTCCTTTATCAATAAATCCTTTTGCTTTATAATATATCCGTATACTTGAGATTCTACCTTATTCTCCTGGTTGTCGTCCACTATATCGAAAAGATCTGCATCACCATCTGCTGGCAGCTCACTTGCACAACAAATTATTCCGTTTTTTCCAGTTGAAATCACGTTTTTCATATGTTTCACACAACTGCTGTGACTGATAGTATCACATTTAGCACATTTCATACCACTTAATGCAATTGTTTTGCACCTTTTACACGGTTTTGAAGGAGCTGAACTTTCTTGCGATTTGCTAGTCGGCGCCATCTTTATTTTTACAAAGAAAAACCATTGAGAATGTAATAAGTAGGTAGGTATATAGGTATGTCTCATTTTATTTTCATCATATTCTAATAATTCCTGGATTTTGCAGTGTTTTGAAATACACAAATTCCAGGAACTGCTCATAAAATATTATTACCGTGAATAATTATTATCATTAAATGTTTTCAAAGTAGGTGGATACCGAACAAGTTTTTCCCATTACATCCGATCGCATACTACGTCTTCTTTGGTACTACCTATGTTCATTGTTAAATCAGTTGAATTACCAACTTTGTGTGAAATTTCCATATTGACAATAACAATTGAGGACTGCATCAATTTAATTGTATATAAACGATTCGTAAAGGCTGTGTTTTAAAATAGGTACTTACTACTACAGGTTAAGTTAAAGTACTATTAGGTGTTGTAATTTTACAATGAAGTGATAATTGTGTTAAGTCTGATGACGCTGGAAGTCAATTTTGGGCCATTGTAAATATTTGTTATTTATGTTATGACGATTATTATTAAATTATCGTTAAAAATGACTTACTGGTGCTTTTTATCTACCCCAACTTGATAATCGATATTGTGAATTACTGTTATTACCCACAATGAACCTACAATATAATTTATTCCTATACAGGGTGTCCCGAAATTACAAAGAATGATTTCAATCACGAATTCTAGGAACAGAAAAAGTAAAAAAAGTTCACATAATCATGAGCCCAGAAATGGTCTCCTGGGGAGTTATAGCCATCTGAAAGAGGGGCCGAGATGATGGTATTTTGTAAATATTTCCAGAGCCCACTGTGTTGAGATAACGTAATTTTGAACATGTATATTACTTTTCATGCTCGATTTGAAAATGTTGAGAATTTTCCGGAATTTCGATCAGGGGCGTGGAAAATAGGTGGGGCTACTGGCATTTCTTCCTCCAAATTTTTTTCTATGCAAGTTTTGGCAGTTTCAGCAGGAATTATGAAAATATCATCATTTTTACTTAAAAATTATTTTCTTGATCAGTTTCAATAGCACTCAGTATTTTCGAGATCGATTTTAAAAGTTTGCTGCGTAACAAAAATAGTGCTTTTTCCTTATAATAGGGTACCAAATTTTCCCAAACATTATTTAACGATGGAAAATACCCTTTTTCATTATCTACTTGGGATGTTTGACTCAAAATATGAGAGGAACAATTAAAAGAATAATTTCAAAAATATTACAGTAGGTACCCTATTAAGAAAAAGTACAATCTTCATTATGCAGCAGACTTTTAGAATGGATTTACCTCGAAAATGGTGATTGCTATCGAAACTTAACAAGAGTATCATTTTCAGGTGAAAATGATGATATTTCCATTATTCCTGGTCAATCTGCCGAAAATTGCATAGAAAAAAGTTGGGGGAAGATATGTCCCTAGCTCCCACCTATTTCCCACGCCCCTGATCAAAATTTCGGAAAATTTTCAACATATCCAAATTGGGCATGAAAAGTAATATACCTGTACAAAATTTAGTTATCTCAACTCATAGGGTTTCGGAAATATTTACAAAAAACATCTTTCTGGGCTCACATGTTTATATGAACTTTTTTTACTATTTTTGTTCCTAGAATCTGTTGTTGAAATCTTTTTATGTAATTTCGGGACACCCTGTATATAAACTATAACGGGCGTATGGGTCATAGATAAATTTATCTCAAAACGTTAATTATTGAAATTCCAAGAAAATTCAAACTACCATTTAATTTCCATCAAGACCATCCATAAGGATAAGTCTTATTAGGTCGGATAAGTATGCAAGTTACACCACATTACATCAATAGTCAATTCATCGTATTGGCATTTACACGATTATTAAAAATTATTATAAAGTATCATAAACCAGGTAAATATTTTATAACACTATGGAAATTAATTTGGTGGTGTTTTTGATTCAACCATTGTTGATATGAAAGGAAAAGCTGTACTACTAGCTTGTTTTTTAGATCGTTGAAGTATTTAGTTTATTCAATCAAGTAAGTATAGTTTATTCAATGAATCCATAATTCATGTGGTAAATTTGTATTCCACACATCAGCTCAGCTTAATTCAAAAACATTTATGCTAAAACTACTTTCCATTTGTTCCTTTCAAGTTTGAAAATGTACCTATTCATATCATATATGAGTTTATTCAAAAATCAATTTGATGAATGATGAAAATGTACCCAATATTTTCGATACGTTTACATAAACAAATACCTAACAATTCCGATTTTCTGAATATTTATTGAATGAAGAAGAAGTGAAGAAAATTATAAGATCTGTTAAAATTTGAGTGAATTGAACAAAAAAGTATCATGTGAAATTGTAAGGTGAATATTTCTCAAGATTTCAACATCTATTGTGATAAGTCACATGATTGATTAATAATTGAATATTCTTTATGATAAATTCAAACTGATTTTTCGAAGCCTTCTTAACGTGTAAACGAATTTTTGAATGGAAAAATCGAAGAGAAGAATTGGGTAGTTTTAAAATTTGATTTTTTGACGTATTTTTGATTTTTTTTCTAGAATTGCTCTCCTCCCAAGCCAAGGTGTGTAAGTCACTGCATGTTTATACAGCCATTCTTATTCTGTCATCTTAACCTATTTTTCTATGAGAAAATCAATATGAAGAATATTGTTTGGTTTGATAATTTGATTTTTTGTAAGTCGATGTCTATACAACCATTCTTTTTCTCTCATCTTAACCCAAAGGGTAAATCACGTGGGAAGTCCAGTGTACCCGACACGGGAATTCCTCGGGAAGTCCGGGTAATCTTTGGGAATTTCAGGAATTCCTTGGGAAGTTAGGGAATTCATTGGGTAGTCCGGGTATTTTTTGGGAAGTCTGTATGATAACGATTTTTCGAAGCTGGTGTTTTATCGAATTTCAAAATGACAAACTTCTCGCGGTGTTAAATTTATTAGAACTAGATTATATTTGAGATATTTCATATCATTTCCATTGATTCGCCTTTATCACTTTTAACAATTCTCCTTTTTTTCAGTGTATCAGTTTTGTCCTCACAGATTTGCCCAATCGAAGTGAAGCAAGTGGAAAAAATAAGTAGAACAAAATCATTTGAACTTCTGAATTTTTTGCACTAAAGGTTAGAATAAACGGATTTGTGGAATATCAACTGAATTTGAAATCGATATATCACGAGATATTTTATCATTGATTGAGTAGGTACTGGAGTTATTGATGAGAAACAGCGTCAATCTTTGTCGTTTTGACCTATATATTGAACATAGGAGTGTAAAATGAAATCTGGGAAGTCTGGGAATTCTTTGCGAAGTCCGAGAATTCCTTGAGAAGTCCGGGAATATCTTGGGAAGTCCGGGAATTCCTTGGGTAGTCCAGGTAGTCTTTGGGAATACCGGGTATTCTTTAGGAAGTCCGGGAATTGTTTGGGCAGTCCCCAGAATTCCTTGGGTAGTCCCAGGAATTCTTTCAACAAAGGAAGTCTAGTGTGGAGTTCCTAAATGTACTTGACACTGCTGTTTTGACGTTTTTTGTATAAAAACCGTCAAAATCAGCAGTGTCAAGTGTACATTTAGGAACTCTAGTCTAGTGTACCCGAAATTGGCCCGTGATCTACCCCTCGTCTTAACCTATTTTTCTGTGAGAAAACCAAGATGAAGAAATGCAAGATAAAGAAATGAAGAATTTGATTTGAGATTTTTTTTTCAAATTGCTCCTCTCCAGAGGTTTTTTTCTGTGAGAAAATCAAGGTAAAGAATTGATTTGTTTGAAAGTTTGATTTTTTGAGGTATTTCCAATCGTTTTTTCAAATTGCTCTCTTCCCAAGGTTTGTATGTCAATGTGCATACAGTCGTTCTTTTTCACTCATCTCACCCTATCTTTCTGGTGAAAGTATACAATAAAACTTCACTTTTATCCAATATTTTAATATCCTAATTTGATTATAAAAATGTGCGAAAACCACGTTAAAGATCTATGGTCAAAACTTCACTCTAGGAATAGAATAAAAGGTAGCTTAATGTGGTCCCCCAACATATTGGGAGTAAAATTCTATACGGAAAAATTAAAAGAACATGTTTTGTGCTCTTTACAAATTCGATTGTGATCATTCGACATTGTTATAATACATCGACAGTAAAATCAATGGTACATTCAGAATCGTTGCTTCTGTTGCTGTATTTCCATTTTCCAAAGAAACACTTCGTATACGGAACACCTCTACTCTTCGATCTTCTCCTCCTCTATAGGCGACGTAGCTTTATCAGCCCCAGTCACCTCAACATACTCCAAAGTTTCCCCAGCAACCTTCTCCTCCTCACTATCGACCTCCTCCAACTCCTCATGATCCAGATCGCTCTGGTCTTTGGTGAGGTCGCTAGCAGCCGTTGAGGCGGTTTCTTCTTGCGTGTACGGCTTGGGCTTGCCCTTTTTCTTCGTTTTCTTCTTAACCAGCACGATCTCTTCTTGTGCGACGTTGTAGCCTTGCGGGAAAAGGTACTGGCAGTCTATTTCGCCTGCTTCTGCGTCTGCGCTCATGTAAGAAGGGCCTAGTTCCGAGAACGCCATCAGACAGTCTGGGTTGGTCTTCGCCAGTTGTATAACGATCTTTTCTTCGCTGAAAAATACAAGCCATCAAGTCCAGAGCGAAATATAGGCACAGAGTACTTTGGGCCACTGGTCGCACATCCCAACATTTTTCTGCACAATGTTAGGGTATGTTCCAACAGTATGAAACGAAGTTTGCAACTTTGAAAGACCTATGCTGAGAGTTTGGTGCACGAATAACACGGTTCTATAAGACAGCTTCCTGAACGAGACCTTCGAGTCTGGATACATTTCCTATAATTTGAGTTCAATTCCATTCCTTGAGGTCTAATACAGCCCAAGATACAGGACCTCAAAATTGGCTTTCTCCTAAAAGTTGGAAATTGCAGGTTTGGCCCTCTTTTGAGCAAAATATCTAGTCTAAGACTCATTCTACGAGGAATGATATCAGATTTGAAGTTGTCATATACTTATATAGATTCCATTCGAGCTCATAACCAAGCGTATAGACCCAATAGCAACATTGTTCACTTCAAATTGATTTTTCTGAGAAAGGGGACCTGACGACTAGATTTGCCTACACATACACCAGTTACATTATTGACCATTCAACTCATAGGATGAACATCAGAGCCAATATTTTGCTTCGAAGAGGGTCAATACTACAATTATCAACTTTTTGACAACAAAGCCTGTATCTTAGGAAGTATTGGACCTAAGAAAATGGAAGTGAACTCATACGATAGGGAATTTATCAAGCTTCAAAGAAGGTGGCATTGACTTTTTCCTCAGGAAGTCACCTTATTTTTTTTATATTCTGGTTCCCACGAAAAGGGATATCCTGTAATGTTCGGAGAACATCGTGAGAACCCAGGGAAATAAGGTAGGAATTGGTGTTCGTCTTGAATTTCTGGAGGTTATATGCCTCGGGGAACACATCCCTTGGTAATGTGTTCCAGAGCCTCGCTGTTCGTTGGATGAACGAGTCTTTGGAAAGAGATGTTCTGCAGGTCTCCAAAGTGACCACGAAGGGGTGCGAAGCATCAACTCGACGGGTTAATCTCGCGGGGACTGCCAAGGGAGGAACAATTGTTGATATTTCAGAAGAGCGTACATGAAAATATCTATAAAATAAAGCCAGATCGCCAACTTTTCTACGGTGTTCCAGAAAAGTGAGCGAGTTTGTGAGCGAGGCATCACCCACGAGACGAGAATTGCCCTTTTTTTGGACAGAATCCAACAGTTTCAGGGTATGTTTGGGTGCTCAACTCCAAATATAGGAATAGTATTCCAGGACAGGTCCGATCTGTGCCTTATAGATCATAAGCAGCTGACTGGAAGTGAAATAGCTCCTGGCCCGAAACAGAAAACCAAGTTTTTGGGATGCACTTTTAGCGATTGATCTCACGTGATTTTCCAAGAAAGGTTATTGCTGATATTAATACCAAGCATCGAAATGGATGTCTTCAAAGGTATGGTTACTCCTGACAAGCTGATGTTGGGCATAGTGAGATCGGCTTTTCTAGAGAAAAGACATGCTTGTGTTTTGTTTGCATTGAAATCTACCAAGTTATTGGATCCCCATTCGAGAATTGTTGCCAAATCCATATTTATGTAGTCAGCATTTCTCCCTCGTTCGTTTCTGATTTGCCTGGCTGGGAGAGAAGGCGACATGGAGGGTACTATCATCCGCGAAGCTGTGTCTTGGTGCTAGAATTGATCCTTGCGGAACACCAGCATTTATGATAAGAGAGACAGAGGAAACTCCGTCGACCACTACATGGAGAGACCTGTTTGAGAGAACTAGCTAGCAGAGAACATAGCTGGGGATGCAAGCCATAAGATGGAAGCTTGGCGAGGAGTCCGTGGTGCCAGATCAAATGCCTTGGGGATATCAAGTGCCACGGCTAAGGTTTCACCATATTTTTCAATAGATTGCTGCCATATATGTGAGACGTAAGCGAGCAGGTCACCTGTTGATCTCTGATGACGGAAGCCATATTGTCAATCGTTGATAATACCTGAATGTTATAGAACTTCTGGGCTGAAAACTGAAATTAGAGGAAAATTTTCGAAGCTGCAAACTGTGTTTTATACTAATAGGACAAAGTCTAACAATATGCAAAAAATGGAATGTGCGAATTTATGCGATTTAGGGTCAGCTGCCTACTTACTAGGTAGGAACGTCAGTTCTTTCATCGAATTCTTTTACTGTTTTGGCGATAAGTTGAGCTGCAGGTGGTATATCGCTGGTGAAAAATCCCATAGCCATAACTTGACCGGGGTATTTTTCAGACAGTTCCATGACTTCTGGTGCTTTGAAAGCGTCATAGCCAACTGCCACATAAAAAGGCGATGGTTCCACTTCAGGGAATTTATAAGGAGCTGATAGATTAGGAAACAGGTGTTTCAAGGCTAGGGCTTTGCTGAGATTATTGGGAGGTGCCCAAATACCTGAAACATACATCTTCAGTAACCCTGAATTTGACCTATAAGACAAAAATTACCAATGAGTATATTTTCTTCTTCTTCTTCGACATTGTCAGGTTTGGGCATCAATCTCTGGCTAGGGGATTTTCCATCCCCAGGTGGTTTTCTGCTATTTCCGTAAACCATTTGCAGAACCACTTCGTCGATTTCCCCAGATAAGTGTTCGGAGCTGCGCTTCATCAAAAGTGCTATCGAAACTCTGTTTTGTGAGAAATCGTTGATATTTTTTGGCGACAATTTGTTGTCACAGAAGTACAGCATATCTTCGACTGCATCCTTATTGAGTTTGACCTCAAAAAGTAGGTAAATAATTTATTATGCTTTACTTGGCGTCCAAATCGGACAAGTACTTTAATGTTTCCTAAACTTTTGGCTACTATTTGGTGGTGCGTTAACTCCATGTAGAAGTGTATATTGGATTAAATAAATTCCTTGATAGTTAATAAGTATATTTATTTGGTTTGGGTAGGGAACGAACATAGGTACATTGATATAGAACATCAAGGCTCAGGTGAATCTGGTTCTAGGCTCTCAGTAACATCTGCTTCTTGCAAACCGAACAGATCCATATCATCATCTTCATCTCCTTCTTCTTCTCCATCCTCTTCACCATCCCCCTCGGTAACAGCACCTTCTCCTTCAGCAATTTCTTCTTCATGTTCATCAGGAACAACTTCTGGTTCCTCTTCTACTTTCGAGACTTCCTCTTTGAAACATTCCACCTCGCTGGGCTCGAGCTGGAGGTCTTCCTCGTCCAAAGATTCCGCGTAATCATCCGGAAAGAAGATTTGGCATTCCCGGGCCCCCTCTTCGGCGTTAGGGGACATGGATAGAGGGTCTAGCTGTGCCAAGGCGAAGACACACTCGCTCTTTCGTTTCGTTACTTGGATCACCAATTTTTCCGTGCTGGGAAAATGGGGGATTAGGGAGTTAGGCAGGGTGTCCCGAAATTACATTGAAAGATTTCAACTACAGATTCTAGGAACTGAAACAGTAGAAAAAGTTTTTCTACTCATGAAACGAAAGTAGGCGTTTGCTCCCTCATTTAAAGAAACAAAGTTATCAATTTACTCCTACGGGAGAGGAAATAAATTGGCTTCAGCATGCATTTTTGGCGTAGATATTCGCGGGAATCAATGTTACCAGGTGGCGCTCGGTTTTCATCGTTCCATGTCAAAGCCACGTCAAAACTGGGGGAAAACAAACTCAATCCTCACTCAATCCCATTAGTGCCATTAGCTTGTGTACTGTGTACTGATAAGAGTGATAAGTTTCAAAATTTCTTGACATTACTTGTCAATATTCGATCGAAAACGCTAATAATGCCTGTTGTAGATGTTCTTTTGGCAGATATTTTGCTCTATTCAGATGGAAAAAGCCGACCAGTAGTGGAAGGAGAAGCAGTTCTCCGTGCTAATCATGTGATTTTGTGTGAGGCAGAAGACTTCAACAAAATGCACATTTTTACACTTTGTCTACAAACTTAGGCGATGAAATCTTCCCCACATGAAGTAAAATTGAAGTTGAGGTCCAGAGGAAGTCCTGTAAAACAATGGATTCGTATTTGTTCATGCAAAGCAGGACAATCTGGGTATTGTAAACATGTTGTAGCTGTTCTTTTATATGTCAATTGATTTGCTCGTCATAATTAGTTTGAATTGTTTGAACTATCTCCAATTCTTCACCCGTTCACTGTTCACTAAACTAATAAAAAGCTAATAATGTGAAAAAATTAACCAACTCAACCATCATCACTACACAGCTACAGCAAGCTGAATGCAATGTAGTCTATGCACTTTATCCATAGACAATAGTTTGTTTTCCCCCAGTTTGAAGTTCGTATTATGTAACCCAGATGTCGCCCACTTCGTGAATCTCGCGAATACCTATATATGAAATATGTGCAATTCAAGTAATCAGTGTCGGTATCACTATTATAAAACAAATAAGAATAATCTCATATTCCGGACGTACTCCTAATCAAAACTTCCTTGAAATAATCATATATACAGGGTGTCTGTGAAAGGCTGGGACATGGCTCGGCTGTGGACTCCTGGGATAAAAACAAGTTGATTTAGGCCAACTTACCTATATCCAAAATCGTCTCGTTGAGTTGGTACAAGGCGTTGAAGTTTTTTTTGGAAAAAATAGTTTTGCTCATAAAAAAAGTAGGCTGAGTGACTGTAAGCCTCGTTTTGAGATGTTTCAAACAACCATGTTGCCGTACAAATTTGGTGATAACTTTTCAGAGGTCAGACTTGAAACTTCCAGTTTTTTTGTCAGAAAAGTATTTCCTTCAGAAATATTTTTTGTATCGTGTTAATTTTTGATAATCTCGGGCTCACCCTCAGATGACTATAACCCCCAGGGGGCCATTTTTACTATTTTTGTTCGTAGAATCTGTGGCTGAAATCTTTCTATGTAATTTCGGGACACCCTGTATACAGGGTGGAACAGATTTCTGTATATTAATTTGGAGAGGTGAGACTATTCGAATGAGGGGTTTTTCCAATTGAAATATCTCAAAAAATGCACTATAACTCAAGTATCCTGAACTTATGCAATCCATTGATCTGAAATATCGGTATCATTAATACACATCAAGATCAAAATAATAGTGCAGATTCATATACAGGGTGGCATTGAAATAAGTGCAAATATTTGAAATACGGAGAAAGCTCGACGTGTACTATCGAATGACACCAATAAAAAAAACTTAGGGATCAAAATACAATTTGAGGTTAGACCCCTTTTCCCACCCAAAGTTCTACACTGTAGCAAATCTGACGTCACCTCTGTTCAAATTTCCATGCGGTAGGCCCAATGGCGTAATTGATTTTTTTTTCGTATTTTGTTCAATTTTTGGGGCGAAATTTCTCGTTAATTAGAAGAATTGAAAAAATCCGATATCATGGGAATATTCCTTAGACTGTATCATATTAATGGGCTGAATATGTGCACTTAGTTCGAAAACACCTTGTATATGTTCAACTTGAAATATCTCAAAAAATAATGAATGTACAAGGTGGCCAACTAAGACTCCAGAGTTCGGTTTTTCTGTTGTCTTGAGAGATACAAAAAAAAAGTCATGTATCAAAATTGAAGTAATAATCGAGCTTCACATTTCAAAATTTCTTTGAAATACACAGGGTGTTCCGTAAGGTCACAGCACATCAAAGCTATATTTTTTTCATTGGAACACCCTATATTTTATTTCATTTTTGAATTCTTCCTGAAGATCTGATTTCAACGACCCATCATACTTAGGGTCTAGCAGTGAAAGTTACTGACATATAGGGTGTGCAAAATCGAGATTTTCCAAGTTCAGAATTTTTTTCTGTCAAAACTGTTTATTATTCGTCAAAACGGTTTACATGTCCCTATCTCAACTTTTCACTCACTATCAATTGGTGTTCAATTGAAATTGATACAAGGTGGTCAAGAAATCTTAATTTATAATTTGTTTCAATTAAATGTCAATTGAACACCAATTGATAGTGAGTGAAAAGTTGAGATAGGGACATGTAAACCGTTTTGACGAATAATGAATAGTTTCGACAGAAAAAAATCCTGAACCTGAAAAATCTCGATTTTGCACACCTTATATGTCAGTAACTTTCACTGCTAGACCCTAAGTATGATACGTCGTTGAAATCAGATCTTCAGGAAGAATTCAAAAATGAAATAAAATACAGGGTGTTCCAATGAAAAAAACATAGCTTTGATGTGCTGTGACCTTACGGAACACCCTGTGTATTTCAAAGAAAATTTGAAATGTGAAGCCCGGTTATCACTTCAATTTGAATGCAAAACTGTTTTTTGTATCTCTCAAGACAACAGAGGTATCGGACTCTGGAGTCTTAGTTGGCCACCCTGTACTGCTATAGAGAAAGATTATACGATATTCACGTAAGAAGTATTAGAAAATGTGATTAAATGGCAATTTCGCCAGTGGCGTACCCCTCTGGTAGTAGCCAGAAACGTTCATTTTACATAATTCAGTAGGGTGTATAGTATCTGCACTTCTCGCCAAATATGACAATGACACGTCAATTTCTTTCAATCATTTTTCAAATGTTCAATTAAAACACCCTGTAACCTTTATCTGGGTGATTTGGGTTGAATCTTCATATTTTGAGCGCAGGATTGCATAGTTGAAATATTTCCAATTAGTAATGATACACCCTTACCCGAAAGAAAGAAACAAGTAGTCTGAATATTTTGTAGGAGTCTCTTACTAGGTTCTCTTCGACCTATTCTCAGGCAACTCCAGCTTCCTCAAGCTCTTGGCTACCAGCTCGCTCTCCTCAGGCACCTCTTTCGTGAAGAACCCATAGTGCATGATCTCGTTAGGATAGTGGCTCATGATCTGCATAGCCTCGTTGACTTGGTGCGTATCGAACACCATAGCGATGTGCTCCGGCTCAGGCTCAGGAGGTGCCAACTCATAAGCCCCAGACAGCTTGTGGAAGAAGAGTTTCAAGCAAGTTGCCCTCACACAAGGGCACTGCGGTGCCCAAACGCCAATGACTTTGTGCTCTTCCTTGGTCTCTTCGTCTTCCACCACCCGGTGCAGCTTCTGGTAGGGGCTGTGCTCGGACCCAGGAGGTTTCTTATGCTCCCCGTATACCAGGGTGGAGACCGCGTGGTCCATGTCTTCGATTTCGATCCCATGCTGAGGTTTGAGGCACACTATCAGGCACTGGTTGTTCAACAGGTCTTCCAGGGAATGTTCGTCGAACTGTTCTTCTTCGTTTTCGTCGAAATATAACAGCTCGTCTAGAGTTTCTTTGGACATGTCGACCTGGGGATGGGATTGTAGGGGCGTTGGGGATGGGGTTTTGCACGGAGAAAAAAAATCACTAACCCTTAGTGAATATTTAATAGTGGCAAGTAAAAACTTGTATACTATATGGGACAAGGAAACAAGTTAATGACAACAAGAATATTTGTGTTCCTGAAAATGTACACCTACCACTATCGACCTGTTTCATTAAATTTCAGAGTGATAACGGTTAGTGAACACATCACTTGTCATCAGTGACCTATTCAATTGTCATTAGTAACTCATTCACTTTTCATTAGTGACTTGTTCACTAGTCATTAGTGACTTGTTCACTAGTCATTAGAGACTTGTTCTTTAGTCATTAGTGACTTGTTCACTAGTCATTAGTGACTTGTTCACTAGTCATTAGTGACTTGTTCACTAGTCATTAGTGGCCTAATACCATGTCATTAGTGACTTATCTACTAGTCATCAGTGTTTTATTTACTTGCCAATAGTGACTTATTCACTTGTCATTAGCTAGTATGAAAAAATACCTCCATTGTTCTCTGAAAAATGATAAAACCTTGGTAATAAGACAAAAACACATGCATTCAAAACATTTTATTATAAAGGTATGATGAATACAAAAAAAATACAAAAAAGGTAAGGCTGACGACAAATATTGAGATACTAGATACCGCGTATATCAGCATCATGCACCGAGAAAAACGGTACTCTCACTCACTGCACTGCACTCTGGTTCACTATCTTTTTCCTTCCAGCATTGAAGATGAATCAACTTTCATACTTTTTAAACGTCACTTCCTTTCACTTCGAGTATCATAGGGAGTGGAAAAAAATCCTGTACATATGTAGAAACAATTATGTACTGTTCTAGAAGAGTTTTGTATTTCATTATCTCCTTCAAGAGAACAGATCAAGAACTCAACACCCCACAGCTCAGAGCACGGCAACAGAGCACGGCACACAAACAGAGAATTCTCATACGTATATGATATAGTATAGTTGTTCGAAAGGGCACTTGCATGACTTGGAATTTCAATGTTACTAGCGGAAACGCAACAATACTAACTTCACGAATGCTAAGATCGAAATGACGCCGTGGACTCGTGGACACTGGACAGTGATCGCGTTGGGCGTGGGTACTCGAATAATATCGGAGATGTCCGAACGAAAAAGAGATCTATAACTACAGGTGAGCTGTCACCTGCAACAATCGACTTGATAGATTGTCTTTATTGATGAGTTCGCTCAGAGCAAGTGATCTTATGTCAGAAAAATAATTTAATGATAGTGAGTATTCGTTAACCTAGCACTAGTTTAGTGTTCACTTAGAATTAGCGAACTCTAAGTACATATCGATTTGGCTGATACCAACAAGTGTTCTGATCACTTACAGCAGAAACTTCGTTCCAGAAATATAGTTTTGCTTACTGCAAGTACCATATTTTCCTACCGTTGGTGAAAATGTTCTTGTCACAATCGACTTTTTTTCAAGAAAACAATTTACTTGGCCGAGTTTTCTCAGTGTGGGATTGGTGGTGACTTACCTTCTCGGTTTGATGGACAGCTAGGCCAGCTTCTTGTATCGTGTCGGCCATTACTTCCCAGTACTTTTCTCTGGCGTTGGGGAAAATTAAAACGACGCCGAAACTGTGCAAGTTGTTGAGGATATTGTGGCATTCTTCTACTTTTCTATCGTGTATTTCTTTTGCTCGTTTGGCGTTTTCTTTTTCTTTGGCTTTTCTGGTGACGCTATCTGCTTCTTCGTTTCTTGTCAGTTCTACTTCCGTCATCTCGGTTATTTCCATTATGTTTTCCCGAATTTTTTCACCGCTGGCGACCAGTTGTTCGTTTTTGAGTTCTTCCATGATGAGTCTAGTGAGTTTTGGTGCGTCTGCACCAAACATCAGACTCACCATTTTTCCTTTCTAAAAAAAAACAAACTAATCGAATGTCTACTGAATTGAATATGTTATTCATACAAGATATGCCTTGTTTCAGTTTTAGAGGGTGGTCCAGAAATTGATACATCAATAAATTATTCTGAAAGGTGGTAGAGGCATGCAAGATAAGAGGGACTTTTGTCAATGAACAAATCTTCAAAATCACACCATATCTTCAATAAAATGTATAGTTCGTTTGAAAATAAAACGTTATTATTCCATTTCTACGGAGATACAAAAGTGATCCTTTTCAAATTCGGCACACTGCCGTTCTATGTGATGACGCGTCTACAATAGGAGTCAAAAATACTAATAGAGATCCCTAAGTGACGTTACAGTGGTAACATATCCATTCTCTAGAATTATGAAAGCATTCTCATGAAATTTTGACTAACAAAATGTTTTCTATTTATTTGCAGTTAATTTTTATCCAAAATGTACTCAAGAAGGCCTATCAGATGGTCTATGACGAGCTTAATTTATCATTTCATGATGTCCTGCTGTGATCAAAAGTACATATACAGGGTGTCCCTAGACCAGTGGGACAGTTGAATATCTCCTGAACCAATAGGAATTTTCAAAATATTATAATCTCACATCATATCGCATAATGAGTGCTAACTTCAGGAATGACTATATTCTCTACGAGGGGCGCAAGAAAGGCTCACAAAATCGAACACCAATTTTTTCAAATGGGACACCCTGTATTTTATTGCATTTTCATATTCTCCTTGGAGAGCTGAATTCAACGACCTAGCACACTTGAGGTCTAGCGGGAATGGTTTCCGAGATATAGGGTGTGAAAAATCGAGATTTTTCAGTTTTGGGAATTTTTTGTGTCAAAACTATTCATTATTGGTCAGAACGGCTTACATATCCATATCTTAACTTTTGATTTACTATTTACTCGTATTAAGTTGAAACAAATACAGGGTGGTGTAGAATTCTGACTGAAACTGAGAATTCTACACCACCCTGTATTTGTTTCAATTAAATACGAGTAAATAGTAAATCAAAAGTTGAGATATGGACATGTAAGCCGTTTTGACCAATAATGAATAGTTTTGACACAAAAAATTGCCAAAACTGAAAAATCTCGATTTTCCACACCCTATATCTCGGAAATCATTCCCGCTAGACCCCAAGTGTGCTAGGTCGTTGAATTCAGCTCTTCAAGGAGAATATGAAAATGCAATGAAATACAGGGTGTTCCATTTGAAAAAATTGATGTTCGATTTTGTGAGCCTTTCTTGCGTCCCTCGTATAAAATATAGTCATTCCTGAAGTTAGCACTCATAATGCGATATGATGTGAAATTATAATATTTTGAAAATTCCTATTGGTTCAGAAGATATTTAACTGTCCCACTGGTTTAGGGACACCCTGTATGGGAAACTATATCAGGTATTATTTTATTGTGGACACTAATTCCTCAAATTTTTACTCAAATAAGGAGTTTCCACTTCTGGGGAGTTGGTTCCCAACTTTGAAGTAGCGGTATACAAATTTCTTGAGCCATATCGGAAGCTTCTGAAGAGGAAGACCAATTTTCAAACAAGATAGATGAGATATCAACAACGTCCCCTTATTTTGCGATTCATCATTACCTCTCAAAATTATTGTATGAAAATGTGGACCACCCTGTGTACAGTAGATGGATTCACTCACAGAAATCAACATCCATGTGGGTTCACTCTTGTATCTGAACCTTTCCAGGGCTGTTATATTATCACATTTCGCCTGAAATAAAAAAGATGGGGCGTTTTCAAGCATTAGGATAATTTGTTAGTACCATCGCCAGTTGAAGCATATCTCCTCCAAACTCCAGTTTCAGTTTTTTCAGATTGGCTGCCATGCCTTGACAAGGTCCACACCAATCAGAATACACATCCACCACTAAAAAAAATCCAGTCAGGAAGAATATGATCATACGGATAGTTTTGTTGGTGAGCTTCAAGGGAATTTTGCGAGACCTACCGATGAGTCCATCTTTTTGCAAAAGCTTATCCCATTCTTCATCATTGCTGACTTCTGTTTGCAATTGAACTGCTTGGCCCTTTTTAGCCATTTTGACGAGTGGGTGACGCCAAAAGTCTACCCTGTGTCACTATGTCGTTGATGAAATTAGAAATTATTGATATAACAATCGGTTGCTATGCCACTGCAATATTCTTTTTTGTATAGGGAGTTGGGATTTTTGTTACTATGATAATCATGTACGGGTATCACACACAATATGGGCCACAGAAATAATTGAGAGTCGAAGTTGTTTATATGAACTTTCTTTTTTAGATAATTTCAACTATACAGGATGCTCCATATGCCCGTGACATACCAAAAATACGATTTTTCAAATGGAATACCCTAAATTTCATTTCGTTATTGGATAGAGCTCAGAAAGAAGAGTTCCATGATATATTATAACATGGGTCTGCGATCACCCGTTTCGGACTTATCCATGATCTTCTTCAATAAATAGCCAAATAACAAGGCCCTATAGAAACGTTGAGAATAAAGTTTTCGATGTGCAGTTTTCGTCATAAATTACCAAATTTTATGTATTATCTTGATATTTCTTCAAAATTTGGAAATTTTGAATTCGCCAAAAGTGATGACGTATTTTGCGAACCCATCATTTTCTCGAAATTTTCATATTGATCACCCTGTATTTGATTTCATTCTCGAATAGAGCTCAGAAAGACGAGTATCGGATTTATTCATGATCTTCTTCAATAAGTAATCTAATTTCAAATTCCTCTAAAAACGTTGCGGATTCGGTTTTCTATACGGGTTTCTGGAATATTTAAGAATAGTAATAGAGATCTACAACGGAAACAGCGCATGAAGAACTTTCAACAACGTTTTCAGAGACTTTAGAGTGTTATGGAATTAGACTTATTCAAGAAGATCATGTATAAGTCCGAAACGGGTGTTCTCAGACCCATGTTATCACGTATCATTGAACTCGTCTTTTTTTTTTGGGCTCTATCCAAGGATGGAACTCGAAATTTATAGGAAATGATGGGTTTGCAAAATACGTCATCACTATCAAAAAATTCAAAATTTCGAAATATTGACGAAATATCGAGATAACATGAAGAATTTCGTAATTCCTGACGAAATCTGACCATTTTAAACTCGATCCTCAACGTTTCTATAGGGCTTTGAAATTTGGATATTTATTGAAGAAGATCATGGATAAGTCCGAAACGGGTGATCTTAGGCCCATGTTACCATGCATCATTGAACTCATATTTCTGAGCTCAATCCAAGGACGGAATAAAATTTAGGGTATTTCATTTGAAAAATTATATGTTTGGCATGTCACAGGCATATAGATCATCCTGTATAGTTGAAATTATCTGAAAAAGAAAGTTCATATGACTATAGAGAACTTCGATTCTCAATTGTTTCTCAATCTATTCTACTTTAGCAGATAAGGGGGTGGTCATGTTATGTGAATATACGAAAAAAAAAAAGGAGGCAGGAAATGAAGATTATATCAGGTTATTTAAGTAGGTACTAAGCAGAGAACCAAAATTTCAACTGGAAATTGTTCAGGAAACAATTTCAAAAATTCGCCAATCAAATGAATCAATTATAATCAATTGATGATTAACGGGTTAGGGTAAATAGATGATTTTATAGGAAGATTACCGCCATGTTTTTTTTCAACTGAAAAAAATATTCATTAGGTACTTACCATTAACTTGCAATTTGCATTCCCATTTCCTGCATTGGTGCGATTGGTTGAAAATATGATTATATGATGAAGTTTAGCTCGGGATCTTGAAGTCCCGATTGGTGGAATAATTTGAAAGGTAGCTTTTTCAGCTTCACCTTATCAAGGTCACCCTTCATGAGGTGCAGAATATCGTCGAGGTACTGCGTTTCCCTGAGGTCGTTTTTGAGGCTGATAGCTTCTTTGAGGAGTTCCTTGGCTTTGGTTTCAGATTCCTGGCAAATAATATCATGATGATATGGGTATATTAATTTTGGAAAAATATTGAATTGTTTATTCATGCAGAAATTGTATATATAGCTACACAGACGAAAAATAACAACAACAGTATAACTGTATAAAATTTGAAAGTTGAACAAAAGTTCTGGTATCGATTTCTGGGGAGTTGGTTTTCAACTTCGAAGTAACGATATACAAATTCCATTTTAAATTTTTGATAAAAGTATTACGAATAGCTCGACGAATAATCTTTTCCCACCACCTATCGTATGACCTATATTATATCAATCCCCATCTGAATTAGATCAGATGCAAGTACCCCAATTTCACTGAACTATTAATCTTTTATTTTCAAAACTGAAAACCAATACGATGATTTATATATATTTATATGTTCCTTGGGGTAATAATAACAATCAAACAATCAATAAAAATGAAATTGCTTCACTGATTTGCTCAAGAACTTAAAGAAACCTGCATCCGATACAAAGTTTTCTTCGGAGGATTTTCCTTTGCGGAATCGAGTTCCTCCCGAAACGAAAAACCAACTTTTCCATCGAGCCACTCACCTGAAAGCTCCTCCTAATCTCGGAGAGTTCAAGATGCATCTCGTAGGTTTCCGAACAGAAATTCTGGATACTTCTATCCTCTTCGCTAAGACCCAAGCTACTCAGAATATTCGATCGACTAGAAACCTTGAAGAAGAAACATACATGAAAAATAAATTAAGCCTCTAAAATATGAATACAAATTATCAAGTTAAACAGAGTTAATTTTAAATAAACTAGGCAAGATTTCAAATTTTCAAAATTATATACTATACTAATTGGAAATGTTTCAACCATAGAATCTTGAATGAACTCAAAACATGAAGTTTCGTTTTATTTGAAAATTCAAAAAGTATTTGTGACCACAGTACTCGGGAACTATTTGACAAAGCTATTATTGTCATACTACTTGGCGTGCAGTGTATAGATACCTTGCATCCTACTAAATTATGTCAAATTAGAGTTTATGGCTACTCAGAGGCGTAGAGTTTCCTTTCGAATTTCGAAAATTCGTTTTCAGTAGGTAAGTTCATACCTGTAAATAATCTGAATCGTGTCTGTGTTCCCCTTTGCTGGAATTGCTGCTATGAATACTGTTGCCTAGATCACTGGTCTCGATAATGAAATTTGGCAATTCAGTGGTACATTCTTTCATTTCTGGTTCAGGTACATCGATTATGTCATCTAAATTACAATCAACATCTGAAATAAAACAAAATTAATGAGTATACAATATCTTGAAATATGGTACGTTGTTCTGGGATACCTTGTATATTATAAATATTAGCATCAGACTCTAACACATATACATAGTGGATTACCTAACTGATGCACTAGAGGTTTATAGAGAAACCATCAAGGAAAGCATTAACCTGAAATTTTGATTGTAACAATAACACATTATGATCTAGGATCCAGTTCAACCATCAGGAGTGACTTTTTATATATTATTGCATATTTGAATTCCAAGTAAGATTCTGGAACTGTGAATCAGTTAGTAGGTGGATCACCATGCATTTGCCAATAAGTTTTGATTATATCAACAGTAATTTCAGCATGTCCTTATATTGTATATTAGGATACAAAAAAATGTACTTATTTGCATTATTTCAATAAGGGATTCTCGAAAGAACTTTACCTATTCAAATTATGGTCGCATTACACAATTAGGGCTTTTACCTGAAACAACCGTACTTATACCTACTTATAATGTTATTTGATAAACTTTTTCGGCAACCTGATCTTATAAATTTAGTGACCTGAACTGAATCTAACCTTGACCACAACCTTCTCAAAATAAACTAATATCACTAATAAGATTATCATCATGGAATGATGAAAAAGGAAAAACTAAGGCGATTAGATACTTTACCTGTTATGTTAAGATAATTATAGGCACATATGCATATTATATGCCGTGTAACTTTTCAATTCTATACTCCATGTCTATGAAGGACAAAAAATGCTAATATATAATTCATGACCATTGTCTTAATTAATCATTGGAAGGTTGAACTGTTTGTTCATGATTGTTTTTTTGGAGCGAAAAGGATGTATCTTCGATATTGAAATGTTCGTTTTACAAAAACCTCAACTGTTTTTCTGAAGAACATAAAACAACCTTGTAGGTTCAGAGATGTGAATCCTGGTCATCTATAAATTATTTTCTAGTTCCGAAATGTCACTCCTTAGATAAAAAAATACTATACCCATTATTGTAGAGCATTAATTATGCTGGTATGACTTTTGACTATTGGTAAAATTCCAAAAGGGATATGATACCCATACATTTAAAATAAACATATATGTGGAGCATTTCTAAAGATTACCTGTTAGAATTAACTCCATCATCAATGACATCATGTTATCCTCCTTGGTGGCATGATAATTCACAATCTCCTTATACATATCCTCGGTCAAACTTGTCTTCCTATCATTAATAAGGCACTTGAAATTTGTGGTCTTGAGGTTAACCGTCTTCAACAACTCCCCAGTTATTTCCTCCTTCATCAGATGCTTGTATTTGGCGTGATATATCACTGACAGTAGCATTTTGGTCTCAGGATTGCATGGGCTGATGATATCAGCCAACTTTTCTTTGGGAGGTAAGCTACAATTGGCATTTCTGATAGCGTTATCGTAGATCGGGGTTTCTGTTTTCAGTATTGGCTCGGTTTTGATGATCGGAATCTGGTCTTCCACAAGTGCTTCAGATGCTAGTTCGGTAAGGTCTGGTATGTCTATCGAGTCGAAAAGGTGTTCCTTAGTCAGAGATTTCCTCAGCTTTGACAGTACTCTATAAGAAAAATCACATACCACATTGACAATCCGAATAATAATTGTATGCAACTCCACGAGTGCGTAATCGCATTACGACTCGAGTTTTGTATTATACTTTTTCTATGACTACACTTTTTTCTGCTCTCAGCTTCGGTAGGTATTTTATAAGCCTGATATGACTGAATGACGATTATAGAGGAATATCAAGTAAATTGACGTTTGATTGAAATATGGTATGTATACCTGCTGTTAGTCATAGAAAAATGTATGAATTCTTGAAATCGGTATTCTGCAAATCAAAAGTATACAATGTTGACTTTTCCTTCGTATGTATGTACAGTGTGTCCCGTTTTAGATGCTTTTGCATGATATCTCAGTTATCTTTGGAGATACAACCTTGCGGTTTTCGCGGTCCTGTGCCACTTTTTTTGTGAAACTCAAGATGGCCTAATCAGATTTTGCATAAC